TGGAGAAAATTCGGGTTGCTTTTGTGTCAGTCGGTAATTCTGCAACAGTGACTAACTAACGCAGCACTAGTTGACAGACAGCATTACAGCGTGAAATCCAGCTTGTGACCCGATGCCGTGAGGAATTCTGTTCAGGAGGTCGCATTTCAGGCTCTCCACATCATATGTGACTGACTTTTACGTTAGAATAACGATCACACACTAGGAATGTTATAAAGCGCCTATATGTTTCTTTTGTATATTATCTGACTTTATAAACTCCAACTACAATGTGCTTCTATTTTTTTTTCAGGCTAAATCTACCCAAGACATTGGCTGTCAGACTGATTTAGCTGCAAGAATGCACTTGTCCAGGCTAACGTGAAGCCTTACCGGCATAGCAAAGGTGAATTATTTTTAATAATCTTCTATGTAAACATTTTATTATTACCTTCTAGTTTTAATTTGTTTTACAGATTATTGTTACACGTGATTTTATGCTCTTTTAAACATTTATAAATGTGCTGCTTCTTTGCTTTTTACATTGCTAGAGCTCACAGCCTCAGTGTGTCTTGTGACACAGGGACCATGACGGAAATTCATCTTCCAGAAAGTCCCAGAGCGTCCACACCCCTGAAAAGACCAAGATGTGAGGTGTCTGCTGTTGATTCCAGCTTCCACCTCAGTGGCAGGGCAAGCTCAGTGAACTGTTCAAGGTAAAAAAAAAAAATTTGAAACTTTCCAGAATTTTTAAGATATTAACAATTAAATAAGTATGTGATTACGTCATGACATCATGAAGGAGGCTACTGATTCTGGCCCTGTGACACTTGGTGGTGACGTGTGAGCTGATTCACCTGGTAAATAACTTTCACATTAAATATTTTGTTCTTTGCTATCAAAAGTAAATTAACTAATAACATGCATTATTGCAGGACACTCAGCAAAATATGGACTCTACACCATGAGGCAGGCACACGTTAATACTCTATAAGAGCACATAAGGTGAGCAACACCACATATTATTATTATTGTACACTGTCCTGGATTTGTTTTCTTTCTGCATGATTTGTTTTCTTTCTGCATCTCATCATTAGCCTGGCTGATCACCTGATAACTCCTCTCATCATGGTTGTGACAGCATGAGGATGTCCTCACACACCTGTAACCTACCAGCTCTTCTGGCAGAATAGAGAGAGAAGAGACAACACCACATCTCCTGTTCCTGGAAAGCCTTCAGCCATCCTTCGATGACTGAGAACCTCCATCAGCTCTGTCTCCTGTCTGCCTACAATTATTATAATAAATATTGTGTTTGACAAGTTTTTTGTGCTGCCAAATATCTCATTTTGATTCCAGTTTTGATATTTTAATGGATATTTATAAATTACATTAATTGAATTATCACATTGTTGCATGTTTAACTAGCTCCATTGTGATGAATTAAACTAGCACCTCACTGTTAAAAGCTCGTTTTAATTTCAAGCATGTTTAAGTATTTATGGACATGAACAAAAACAGGAAATATATAAATTGAGATTTATTTAATTAATATAACAAATAAGGGGGAAAGAGTCATTGAAAGGCACATTCTTCTGGAAGCTCCTGATCCTGACGACACAGCAGGAGACCAGCTGCAGACACCAGAGGATCCTACAACCAAGAGCAGCTGTTATCAGTAAATAAATAATGAAATCAGGGCAGTTTTAGTGGGCTGAACACATTACAGAATAATTTTCTCATGGGGTAGTTTCATAACTTTATGCAGCAGATTGTAACTTGAGCCCAGCGCTCCTGGAGAGCTGCAATCCAGCACGTTTCAGTGGTTTTCCTGCTTTAACGGGTTAGATTAGCTGTTAAGCAGCTCAGCTATTTGCTGCTGATTAAAACCAGGTGTGTTGAAGCAGATAAACCTCTAAAACATGCTGAATACTAGCTCTCGGGCCGTGGAGTCAAACCTTGCAGCTAATCCAATGCTATGGCTAACGGCTACTTACCATTCAGAGCTGGTTCTGTTGGGTCGGTTCCGCTAGTTTCAGGAAACTCACAAGCTCAAAACAATAAGGCTCAGGTCCGCTTGTCCCCTCCAAATAGACTTGGTCCCTTTCTTCTCGAGTGTCTCGGTAAGGAGGGGGAGAAACGTCCTCCACTTCTAGCATCGTCTAGTTAGCCATCGTTTCATCACTGCCGCGGCTCCGCCCTCTCGGTCCTCCACCTCTCGGTCCTCCAGGCAACTCCTACTAATGTTGCAGTTTTTAAAATTGATACGTGGGTGGAGTAAGACTCTGAGGGGGGAATTACCGCCTCTTTAAAGTTTGTTTGTTTTCAAGTTATTTGTTTTCCAAGCCACAGGTAAATGACTTGAATCCAGTCCAGTATTACTGCTATTTGTCCTATATGTGACAGTGTGAGCGTCCTGTCACAGTGTCCTGATTGATCATGTGCCCTGGCTACTTGGCCAAGGGGATGTCCCATTGGCTGACTGGTTAGCGCGCGTGACTCTCTCCCGGGAGTCTGGGGATTGAATCCCACCCAGGCCCTTATTTCTCCACCTTGCCACATATAGAATGGTGAATGCACTAGAAATGGAGAATTTTGACTAAAAATTCCAATTTTTATCTCATATCAAGTAAGGTTTTGCACTTAAAACAAGCACAATATTACATTTAGAACTGAAAACAAGTTTTATACACTTAAAACAAGAACAGTGGTGCCATAGCTTCACAAACTTAATCTTGTTTTAAGTGATGTTGAACTGAAATCTAGAACAGTGTCACAGTGTTACAACTGAAAAAAAGTCAAATGCACTTAAAACAAGGATGGTGATGATGAAAGTGTAACCCTGGACGCAGTTAGATAACTTAAGATCAGGAATGTTTAGATAGACCAGCAGCTAGGCTTGGCAGGATTACAATAGGAACTAAGGTGGGTGCAAAAGGAAACGGCAGGAGGCAGGAAATGAGCAAAAATAGAAAATATTTAGTTACAAAAAATGTGAAACGAGAATACAATTTTAACAATATAACACTCAGATTAACAACTCTGAGCTGGCCCAGAAAAATAAACAAAATAAAAACCCCTGTCTTATTTTGGACTCAATAGTTGAGTTGTCCTTTAAGTCGTTAGTCAAGTCAAAGCGTCTTTTAGTTTCAGTTCTCTCTGGTTTAGTGGTTTGAGTTGTTACCACTTGGCGTTTACATTCAGTGAGAAGAGTGATGGGTCTTCAATCGAAGTGTCTTACCCCAAATTCCACTACCTCCGCTCCGGTCCGCCCCCGTCTTCCGCAGCCACTAGCTTCCGAACTCAATTTTTACTGGTACCCGCTCTACAACGGCTCCGCTCTGGTGCAGAGACCTGAGGTGGGCAAACAAGCATGCGCGGGATTTTCGAGATCTTGCGATACAGTATGAGCAATAAACGCGGAAGTTAGATCCAAACACCCGTTGTGTGGGAGAAGCATCGAAATTAACTGTTTAATCTGCCCATCATTTGTGTTGAGAGATCAGCAGTGTTTGGATCAACAAAGTTTGACTACTTTGATAGTGGAAACTGTATTTATGGCTTACTTTTGTGCATTTAAAGTTCAGCCGCCATTGATAGTTGTTAAAAGGTGTTAAACCTGTGCATATGAAACAAAAAACGCCTTTTGTTTATCGATTTATTGTGAAAAACAGAAGTTGTGCTTGCTCCTTTTCCTGTTGGGTGGTTGTGATTTCTGTCCATTTACTGCGGAGGTGCTCCGGCGTCCGGCAAAAATAGGATCGATTCTATTTTTGCCGGAACAGAGGGCGGCGCACGGCCGCAGTAGTGGAATTGCTCTGATTGACTACAACGGGACTGATTTTGCTCCGGCGTTCGTGTCGGAGCGGAGCGGAGGTAGTGGAATTTGGGGGTTAGGGTTCGGGGCAAAGGCTCGCCATCTCCATCCGGAGAGAATCCCGGAATCCGATCCAGTTCTTAATCGGCGAGGATAAAAACTTAGCCTGCACAATAATAATGAAATTATTGTACATAACTAAAACTCAATTTCCATTTCTTTTCACAGCTATAGCTTAATTTTGTATCTTCAGTTCTTATGTTACAACATCAATAAAATACATGCATGTTTTCTTCTTAGTTCAACTCAAAATACCTTTTAAGTTTTTTTTTGTTCCAAAGCGTAACATGGAATACATACAACTCAATCTCATCAAGTAGTATGGGTTTTATACCAACGCTATTCTTTTAAATTCATCCTTTAAATCGGTTAAACCCTACCTGGGTTACCAGAATTAACATTTACAAAAGGACTTTTGTAAACGTACACACAGTGAACTATTAAAAGTACATTTAACATTCAACAAACATTACATTCAGTCAAAATAAAGAGTGCAAAAAGAACTAAAAGTGCTTCCATAAATCAGTGAGTTAACCAAAATAAAGTTTTCACTGCTTTTGAACAGAAAAATCCACCCGCGGTTCGACGGTAATTATTTTACGTTGCAGATTTAGCAGTAAAACGATGCATCTGAGCCCCTCGAGGCTGAACTGAGGGGGATTATTGCGTTACTGATTGTCATAATTAAACATTTTACCTGATAACGATGCAATTAATTGTTCAATTGCAAAATAGTTTTAAACCATCAAAGTTAGATCTTTTAGTCTAATCATTTGCTGTTTAACCAGTAACAATCAGATAGAGCTCTTTAGAGCTTATCATGCATCATAAAACTCAATCAAATGCACCAAGGTTACACATAAAACAAGTGCATTGTTTATTAATTTTTTTAACACGCCAAAGTAATGGCCAGTGGGACTGATCAGAAAAATGTCTGGTGATAATAATTACATCATCTTTCTGGAGTCCTGGGTCTATTTGGTGACATGACCGTGATTTTGTTCTAAAAGTAAAACATGAAAACTTTTTTGTCGGTTGGCTAGCAAAAAGATATTGACCTTTATGGAAGTTTTTGCACAAAACAACATTACAGTAAAGCTGTGCTTCCCAAAATGATTGGGACCTCAGTGTGGGTCGCCAAGAATTCAAAGGGGGTATTGGGATGATTTTCAGAAATTGAAATATAATCTGAAAACAATTGCCAAAGTTATATTTCAAGCATAAAATAAACATGTCTTAAAAAATTCTTATTTTGAGATTTAACAGTGGTCACGAGCTTCGGGTAGTGATTGGTTAGATCGTGGATACAAGCTGCCGTCATGAGTTTTCTCCGCAGGGTGGCTGGGCTTATCGGATTAGGTTTGTGCCAATAGGATCAAGAAAAACACTTTGAAGATCAAACAAATATTAAGAGAAAAAAAATCATTTCCAAAGGAAAACTTACTATCTGAATCAACTTCTTAAAATGAGTAAAAAAGTATGATTCCCTTTTCTGTTTGCCTTTATGTGTTTTTGTTATCAATTTCCTTTGTTTTATTCTCGCTGCACAGAGCTTTGCTCTCACTACCAGATTTGCACTTACACTTTCTGACTTTCTCCTTTGCAATCCCTGAGTTTTTGGTTGCAGTTCTTTCTGACACAACCATTTCGAGTGGGTGGGACTTCTGAGAAGTCCTCTCCCATAGTACAGTGGTTTCTCTTGAGTGACAATTCAGTGACCCGGAAGTGGTGTAGCCTCCAAGACTTTTTTTCCCCCCACCACGGTCAACAACAAGAATTTTGAGTCCCAAACACGTTATTTCTGCGGTCTGTGGTGTCTGCTGAGGATTTAAAGTGAGTATTGATGATATATTTGATCTTTTTTTAGTTAATATGTAAGTTAAGCCTTCCAGGTTGTGAGCTAAGGTGTCCAAGAATGCTAATTTACAGTGTGACATAGATCTGTGGCTTTTTCCAACCAGGGCATGCCCCACTTATTTTATTTTGGTGGCTAATGTGGGCGATCAGGGTTTAAAGACCATTTTCATGTTCAGCACACATGTGGACCGATGGCAACACCTCCTTGTAGTGTATTTTTTCAAACAGGAAATAGGAGCGGAGTTAAGACTCTGGTTAGGGCTGACTTGCTCTTTAAGTTAAAATGTTGTATCTAGTGCCGTTAGGCATGGGCGGCACCAGAATGTGGCGTGGGGTTGCTAAAGCAATGGCAAGCTTTGGCTAAGCAGCGTCTTAGGTAGTCTTCCTTCAAACCACGTATGTAGCTGACTGCTTCCCCCCAGACCTTCCTGAGAGCAGACGCAGCTGTGTCTTTGTTTCCCTGACTGAGAAAAACAAAAGATCAATTATGTTATATTTATTTGGATACTACAACCAAGTAATTTATAATCAATTAATATAAGTCATCAGTTAAGCCAAACTTCTTAAAATCGGACGATGTCCTGTCATCCACATCTTTTAAGGACAAAAAAAAGTACAAGTCAGCTGGAGAGGAAAGTAGCTTCACACGGCCGGGTTTGGACTCTTATTTCCTGATATTTAGACATCTCGGATTGGATAGCAGCAACATGACTATCACTGACTATTTGCTTTGTAACGTTGATGTTTAATCTTCACAAATAACACAAGTCTGAAGGAGTTCTGCTGTGTGGTGGAGTTGCTAATGCTAACGGTTAGCTTCTACTAGTCGAGACCTTCTGTGCTGTTTCCTGGATGCTAAACAAACAGCCTTTCCCATAACGAGTCAAGATGGGTGAGTCCATGAATGTTAAGTGACAGTGTGACAGAGATCTGTCAGGTTTTTTAAATCCTAGAGTTTCACTGCCTTTTTTCTATCAGAAGCTAATGCAGCAGATAGGTGTAGGAGACTATTTTCATGTTCAGTCTGCATGAAAAACTCATAGTGACTGATTATAATCAGAAATAATACTTAAAAATGTTTTTGGTGATTCACACCTTTAACATCTCAAGCTATTGCTTTCAAACTGGTTTCAGTGGTTACAGAAACTGCAATAAACCACGTTGGTGGTTCAGGTGGGAACACTAGTGGGAGGTATCTTCCTGCTTTACTGTGCCGGCAGCTCACATAAAGGCAAGCAATTAGCTTTCGCAGTTGGTCGTTGACCATAAAAAAACTAGCAAGAAGAATGAGAAGTTAGAGAGCCTGAAAGTCAAAGAAAAAAATTTCTTTGGAGGCCAAGCAAAGTGCTAAAACTAAAGTGACCATCGACACGGCCTACACTAGTTAGTTTCGGTTTAAAACCATCTAAAAAAAGTAGCAAAGCCCTATTTTTTTCTCTGTTTCCAAACTGCTAATAATCATGTATTTATAAAAACAGGCAAAATACAACATCGTTATCTGGAAAGGCTGCAGCAGGGATGTTTACAACTGTTGTAATTCTGCTTTCAACCAGTAGGGGAGAAGCGGGAATCGTATGAAGTGTTAATTTAATTAGAAACTCAGTTTAGCGTTAAAAGTCTCACCTATAAAGTTAACACTGTCTGGAAGACGCCTGGCAGTCAGTGGTCCAGAGTACTTGGTAAGGCTCTTATCAAACAGGAAGACTATGAAGCTGACCCATCCACACTAACATAACAAGATACATGAACAGAATTATCACTGCAGTTACTTAAATGTGTTTAACAAAGGTTCATGAAACAATTAAAACTAAAATTTCATTTATTATGCTGATAAGTATTTGAACAAGTGAATAATTATAATGCTCTTATATTAGTTACTTCTAATTTAAGAGCAAATACATCAAATCAGATGGTTTAGGTCATGTTTTTGTCTGTTTTGTTTTCTACATAATAAACCATCTGGCAGACACTGAGCTGGTGGCCAGTGTGGATCCAGAGACATTCCCGACTCCTGCAGAAGCTCCTGACTCAGTGGTGGGATGTGTGCCTGGGTTTGAGTCTCCAGACGAATCTGCAGGGAATGCAAACTCTCCTCTGTTCCCAAAATCATGGAGTGCAGCTGGGCAGAAGTCATGTCCAAGACATGCATAACCTAGAAAATCACATGCAAAATGAGAGGTTGGCCTTGCATGCAGGTCTCTTATCTTGGTGCTAAAACATTCCCAACAATTTGGTTTAAATGACACAAACAGGACTTGTATAACTGACCTTCATATTGAGAATACTGTGCATAGCGGTGAAGCAGTGTGGCTTGTTAGTTTCTGGATCAAGACCTCCACCACGTAAAGCAGGATCCCATAGCAGCAACATCTGAAGAAGACAACAAGTTCCAGCAGAGGTCTATAAAAACACACACACACACACATCAGCACAAACAGGTGGCACACTAGCGTTAAGCTTTTCTGGTGACTTGTTGGCTTTACTTGCTGAGATTGTTAGGATACGGCAGTTGCGTCAAAAATCGAACTTCACCATTCATGTCTTCTATTGCCATGATGTCTTTAAGACCCTTGTTTTTTACTTTACTTGTCCTGTAAAGTAGTATTTCAGTCATGTGGAGAAACAAATCTACTAATTTACAGATTACAAATGCTTTTATGACCAAATGGATGTTCATCAGCTCTGCCAGCTGTGCAAAGACAGGGTTCCCAAGCGTCCTGGAAAACCCGGAAAATGATAGTCCAATTTTCCAGTCATGGAAAACACATGGAAAATAGGGGGAATTGCAAAATGTCCTGGAAATTTTTGAGTTGTCCTGAAAAATAATTTTCCCTCCTTGTGGATAAACAAACGGATTAAACATTTCGGGCAATATTGGGCTGTAGCGCTTCTCCTTTCATTTCTGCATCTAGCTGGCACAGTGCCCCACATGATGCTTCCAACCAATCAGATTGCATATTCCCCTTCAGTTCCAGTTCCACTTCTGTTTTTCCAACTGTCTTTTTTGCTAGATTTACAGATTTTTCACCCCTAGATTTATTTCTCCAAAGAAGGGCCAAAAGTAGCGACTCGGTTCACGAGTATTGCTTTATCGCAGTTTATAGAGTGAGAGGTTTTTCTCCTTCTCTCTGTTGAGTGACAAAGGAGCAGCGGAGAGCTTTTGTTTTTTTCACTCATGCGTTGAGACGAGCGAACATGACGAGAGCTTCGGGATAGCAACGGATAGCAGGTAGTCTACCGGACCCGCGCTCCACTCAGTAATTCATACTAGTTCTATCGTCTGACAGCAGAAACAAAAATATGTGAATGAGAAAAATGTCATGAATTTGATTTTATCAAAAATACTAAGTATGTGCTCAGAGGACAGAGCCTCAGCTGTTCATACTGTTTTTAGCTAGCTACACAGACCGCAGCCAGGTGGCAGTGAGAACTGAAGACTGGCATGGTCATTTGAACAAAGTTTTTAACGTAATTAAATTGAATTCAACACAGCTAAATTAATAACTAGAATGATTTTAAGTGGTAACTATATATTTATCATAGTAATGCTACGTACAGTCGAGACAAAAAAGGTAGCAAACAACTACAATTACTTATCTCTGAGGTAGAAAAAAAAAATTTTTTCAGGTCCAATATGTCTGTGGTGTTAGCGGGAGATATTAGCCTAGTCATCTACCCTGAATCTTGTTTCTGGATGACTGGACTAACCTAAAATGACCAATACTGGAACAACAAAATGCAGTTTAACATCAGGCTGCCGGCAGGAGGCCCCCGGGTCGACCCAGGACACGTTGGAGAGGTTATATCTCCAATCTGGTCCGGGAACGCCTTGGGGTCCTGCCGGAGGAGCTGGTGGAGGTGGCTGGGGAGAGGACGGTCTGGAGCTCCCTAGTTGGGATGCTGCCCCCACGACCTGGACCCGGATAAGCGGAGAAAGACGACGACGATTTCAATCAGCACAGTGAATTAACCTGGTTCAGTTGCTGAGCAGAACAAAAACATGACATGGAGATGACTTGATGATGCCACAATGTCGCATCTCTGGTATGAACTAAAGTAGAGAATAACTTCTGTTTTAGTTGTGTTGCATTGCAAGTAGAGGAAAGCAGGTGGGATTGTGAAAGACAAAAATCTTTCCACAACTATATTGTCAAAATAACGGTATAGGTAGGTACAATATCATATCTGTTTCTAAATATATCGGGATATTGGCAAACTGTAGTTATGATAACTTGACTTGTACACTGAAAAAAGTCTTGAAAATGTCCTGGAAAAGTCCTGGAAAATAATTTCAAGAAAAGAGTGGGAACCCTGAAAGAGTGTGCACAGCCTGCATCAAAGCTAAAGGTGGTTGTGTTAAAGCTCTCATTCACTCATTATTTCAATAACGCCCCTTCCACATGAAGGCCAGCTCCACTCCACGCAGTCAGCCTCAGCCTGGCCAGGTTAAATATACACACCCTTCCACACATCCTTAGGAATGTGGATGTGACCGAGCATATGGGCAGTCTCCAAAATTGGAGCAGAGATATCAGTGATGTCATGAGCGCATCACCAAGCACATGGGCGGGGCAAAAGACACGCTGAGAAGTCCGCTGTGTCTCCCTTAAACAAAACAAAGACAGACATGAGCTGTGTTGCTTTTGGAGACTGACTTTGATAATGCATTCTGCTCTGCTGTATCTGTTCTGGCGCAGCTCAAGTCCGGCAGCGCTGTATGTGTGTGTGTGTGTGTGTGTGTGCTCGTCAGAGAGAAATTTTAGACGGCTCCCCCTAATGGTAGGCATGAATTTGAGCTGGCCAATCAGTCAGCAGTGGGTGCCTTGGACGACTTCAGCCCGAAGCAGACCACCTTGGGAAGAGGGCTGAAAAAATGGCCGGTTGAGCAAGGAATAAATCCAGGCTATGCAGGTGTGAACACTTCCTAGCCCATCTAGGCGGAGAAGAGCCGTTGCTAGTGTGGAAGCCCTATACGTCTGCTGTGGTCTCTAGTATAAGTGAATGCCTCGGTAGCCGTTCTCAGTAGAGAAAAAGCTCTGGCGTTCCTGTTTCAGGAAGTAGAAGTTAGCCAGGTGAGTGGGGGGCAGAAAATGGCAGGATTTGAATTGTTACTCATTAATATTCATGATATTGAGACATCTTGCTTCTGATTGGCTAACAATTCTCAGGTTTATTTGCTGGGCTGGTGAAGGTGCAGAGTGCAGGTGGAGGCCCCATGGAGGCAGGCAGGTGAACTCAAAAAGGCTTTAATAATGAAAACCAGGATAAAACAGTAATGTGGGACTAAACAGGAAAAACAGATTAATAAATGTTTCATGAATCTTTGGAACTATACAGTCTTTTAAATTTTCCAATTGCTTTTGGTTCCTTTTTTAGCTTTGCTTTCATTTAAAAATTCTTTCAGAGTAAATGAAATGAAAAGCAGGTTTTTGAGACTGAATAAAAAAGATGGAGCCATATGGTTTGACAGTTTCTCTCATCATTGTGGTTACTGACTCTTTTTGTACCACAGCTATAGCTTACATGTTTCAAATAGTTAAAAAACGGAAACACAACGCTTAGAAAATGTAAAAGTCAACAAATGAACTAATTCTGGGTAATGATAAATGGCTTGTATTTGATATAGGGCCTTCTAGTACCCCCCCCCCCCCCCCCCCCCCCCCCCCCCCCCCAAGACACTTTACAACACAATCAGTCATTCACCCATGCACTTTGGGGATGTTTTCTTTCACATTCACACCTTTCTGTCAAACTACATCATTTCCGTCCTCCTTATCGTCAGTCCTCTCACGTTTCCTGTTTCTTTACCCTGTTTGTGGTTGCTAGAAGTAAAAATAGAGCAGCTGCAAGATGCAGGCTAGCTTATATATCTATTTTTTTTCCTTTGTAGGTTTAACTTTAGGTTTTATTCTACCTGTTTGACCATTTTTGGGTTTAAAACCACAAACATCATTTGTTCCAGGAACATGCCACCACTCACTGCCTCAGAGCAACTTAACATGACAAAGTTACAAATCTGGAGGTAGCGCCAGGTGACCAAGAGAGCATTTTTAATTGTTTATTCATGAAATGATGAATTGGTGGTTTGCGTTTGGGGGAATCCAGAGTCTTTCATCAAAATGACCAAATTAAACACTTCAAATTACAGCTGGGTTTTCCCGACTTGTGAAACTAAACAGCTGAATGGCCCACAGTTTATCTAGAAGCTGGAATCATGTCTTTACCGATCCCAAAAAGCTCAAGTCCAAACAAAAAAACAGATAAAGAATAGGAAATATGAATAATCCTTATTTACTTACTTTATTTAAAGAGAGGACAATGCAGATTTATGAACAGCAATACAACTGTAAATGTGCCAGATTATAGCCTTAGGCTAATTTCCATCTGCAGTCCTCTGGCAGGTTAATGTTAAAAGAGATAAGACAGACAACAATATACATTTAGAAAAAAAAACCAGGAACATATTTTACGAAACAGACAAGAGTAAAAACAAATAAAAGTGTCATCTATGATTGCATCTTTGAGTTTCCTGTAGACACAGTTTCAATTGTCTTTTGAAACTAACAAAACTTGAGCTTTCTCTCACTTGAGTAGGAATGCTGTTCCAAAAAGTCGAGCCCTGGAATGACAGAACATTTTGAGAAAATGTTGTTTGCCTACAAGAGGGAGCTCACAGTCACCTCTGACTGTAGCTCGAGTTACTCTGGAAGAGTTCATGTGTGATTTTTGAATAATAAAATCATTCAGTGGTGGATGGGCTAGATCATGAATAACTTTATAGACCAGGCAAGCAGATTTGAAATGTTTAAAATCTTGAAAACTCTGTAGAGAATATTTATCCAGAATCGGACAGTGATGATACAACATTGGCTTTTTGTCCAGGATTTTCATTACCCTTTTATAGCTATTGAATAATGCAGGCGTTAATACTGGAACTACACTGCAAAAAGTGATTTCTAACACAGTGAAAAAAATCCTCATTTTTTTAGACATTTTATTTTATTTTTAGTCTAAAAAGAAAATAAATTCTTAGAAAACTAGCAGTACTTAAAATAAGGTCAATTTAAAACCCAGCCAATGGGGTGGGCAAAAAGTTGCTTAGCTAGAAATCATAAAACTAGCAAAATAATCTAATTTTAGATTTATTATCTAGTTTTAGGAATTCTAACAATGCAACTTTTGTTTATCCCATGCACCGATTTTTTTAAAATTTACCTTAATTAATGTTATTTTCTAGAAAATAATTTTTTTTCTTTTTAGACTAAAAATGTGATAAAATGTAAAAAAATGGCTTTTTTAAACTTTCTTATAAATCATTAAAAAATGTTAAACATTACAGATGAGGTAATGTTTGGGGTGATTTTATGTAAAAAGAAAGTTCCCAGTCCAGCATGTTAATGACTGTCGACGGTTTATGAGCTAAACCTCGACACACGAGAGGCGACATCGCCTCTCCCCCATTCATTTCAATGAGACATGCACGACAAAGCGATAATCGCTGGTCTCCCTCGTGGTAAGCCAGACACGAAAATTTTGTATGTGAAATTTTGCGCTCGTGCATGTGTCGTGCACAGACGAGCCAGCGACGTGATCCCAGACAGTTGAAAAGTTTCTACTTTTCCTCGCTGTTGCTCAAACAAGGATCAACCAGCGGAGGTTTTATTAAAAAGAAATAAAATGGCCTGTATTTGATATAGCGCCTTCTAGAGTCCTGGAACCCCCCAAGGTGCTTTACAACACAATCAGTCATTTCATTCACCCATTCACACACACATTCACACGGTGGTGGTGATGAGCTAAAATGTAACTACAGCTGCCCTGGGGCTCACTGATGGAGGCGAGGCTGCTGAGCACAGGCGCCATCGGTCCCTCTGACCACCACCAGCAGGCAAGAAGGGTTAAGTGTCTTGCCCACGGACATAACGTCAGTGAAAAACTGAGTGGGGCTCGAACCTGCAACTTTCCGATCATGGGGTGAGCACTTAACTCCTGTGCCACCGTCGCCCACCGACTGACCATTATTGACTGACCAATGAGCGGACAGGATGCTTCTCAGGGCTAACATGAAGGAAAAAATAATACTTGCCATGTAGGATTTCCCAAAGCTTTACAGCATGTTTACAAAAGAATATAAAGATCTTCACCAAAAGGCAGTGGCATGAGAAATTGTTGGTGAATTGGTTGTTGGTTTGGTCTCAGAGTCACCATTTATTTTTTTATTTGGGATGAGCCCATTCATGTATCTTAAAATTTTTTTTATAGTAAAATCAGAAGTAACACTTCACTCTAGCAAAACCTTGTGAGACTTCACATCTACTGCTTTTTCAACCCAACATTGCCTCCAATCTGACAGCCAATCAAAACAACAGAAGACTTGCTATTGGCCCTGGAACAGAGCTCGTCGCTGGCTTTTGCTGCTGGCCGCTGCTGCATGCCACCTCCCGTTTGTCAAGTTTTCAAAGCAACAGCGAAAAGTTTAGTTGATCGCAGTCGTTTGTCGCCTCTCGTGTGTCGAACCCATTAAAGGGAAGCTACACTTGCTTAATAAGATCTCCAGAGACTATTGTTGGAAGATGAGATCATTCCTTGTTAGCTGAAGCAACATTTAGTGGACATGTTGCTTATTCATCTATTGCTTTTAAACAATCAGATACCAAGTAGGAATGCAGCTCTGCATCAAAACCCACACACACACAAATGGATGGATGGAATGTGAAAAGTTTGGGAATGACCGGTCATGGGTAATTCCTGGACAGTTGTGTTCATACACATACACCTCTTTCCTGAAATGGGAAGTGTTGGTCATTATTCTCTTGGTGTCTAAGATCGATTTTTGATTTCTGCTCTATTTGCAAAAACTGAACTTATTTGTTCGATTTGGCCACCCTTTTGGCATGCTTGCTGCTTTTTATTATTTTATTTATTTACAAATAAAAAAGTATGAAAAGTAAGGCAGACTGCCATGTGCAGCTCTGCAATTCGCCTAGCCAGCCAGATCAGCCGAATCAACCCTAGCTATCAGTGGGGTGACAGATGTCGCAGCCAGATCGCCCTCACATCTGTAAAGCCCAAGATGGCCGAGCGGCATATATAGACACACAAACTAACAGCGCTCTTTGTTACGGTTTCTTCTTATTTTATGTTCATTAGAACGGATAGAATTCTTGTAGATAATTCAACATAAACGTGTGTTGTTGGAAATCGTCGCTAATGTAATCATAAATAAAAGCTAAATCAAGCCTAGAAACATTTTACCCATGAGTCTTAGCAAAATACATGAGAATGAGTCGTGTTCCTATTGGTCCAAACCCACCAATCACAGACTTTGGATGTTTCCCCTCCCTTTAACCCATCCCAGGTGACCTCGGTAAGCCCCTGACTTTAGTTTATAGCAGAAATCGTAAAGCAGAGAGCTCCTTTCTGTGTACAGGTACAAAGCCCAGTGGCGGCTGGTGAAAAATATTTTTGGTGGGGCTGTGCTTTTTTTTTTTAAACAAACTTGTGCTTTCTGAGCTTTGTGCACAACTTCACTATTTCCTGAATTAAGCACAGCTCTTTTATTTCCTGTCTTACATTATTGGACAAAGGAATTAATCCAAGTGTGTCTGACTATTGGCACACTGCCTTGCAGACCAAGGTTGAAAAATACTGCATTAAATTGCACATAAAATAACATGACCATAAATGGTCCACATCCACATTACAGTTTGTGAAACTAACATACTGGAGAATTTCATCACAATAATATTAAATAAACAAGTAAGTACCTGATCTTTTGCATGCTGTTGGTGAAGCTCTGGATGACCCCTGTGATGGAGACAGAGTCAATGTTCCTCTTCTGCAGCTGGTTGAACAGCATGTCCACATGTGGCATGATCTTGTGACATAATGCCAGCAGAAAGCCGAAATCTTCTTCCTCCAGCATTCTCACAAAGCCTCCTGCCTCTCTCTCAGTGATTGGATCAAAGTCATCCGAGTCTCTGATAATCTGGAAAAATCTGAGGAGGTCATCCTTGTGCTCATACACTGTGTTGACATCTCTCTCTTGGACAAAATGTGCCGGTTCTGATCCACTTCTTCATTGTGTTTCTTCACTGCAAGCCTGTGTCCCTTGTCTCTAGCTGCATGGCAATGTTAGCTCTGCCTAGCATAGCTAGCTTCACCGTGTTGTCCATGTGTGCCCGGGATAACTCATGTTTCTTCACCTTCTCAGAAAAATGTTTCAATCCATGCCTCATCTGTCACAGGCGTTTTGAATAACAAACACGGAAAGCAAAATATCGCATTAGCGTGATTGCATCCAGCTAGCCAAGCCTTCCTGGTGTACCAATTTCGGGAGAAGCCTCGTGTGTACATTTTACCTCTCTCCTCCTCCTGCTGGCTTATCTTTACGTCGGGCTGATCTGGTCAAGGCTCTTTGACATTAAGTTTTTCCACCATAGTTCTCCTCTTGAACGGATACTGGAGAAGAGACCAAACTGAATTCAGTGGCTGCTGAGATCCGGTATCCATGCTGCTGGTTGTAGGCGCACTGGCGTCCATGTCTATTACGTCTGCGTCACGACCGTCACGAGTCACGACCAAAAGCGTGCTGGAGTCGAGACTCTCCGAGTTCTACCGAACACCAACGAAAGCCTTTGGCGGTAGCTCTATCGCCCATCATGCTTCTGAAACAACGTAGACGCTGATTGGATACATTCCCATTCCTACCCTTTGATTTTCTTGTCAGCAATTGGACAGCTGGTCCCGTCCTGTTTGGGCGATTGAAACACAGCCCACAGCCTCCACCGCTCGGCAGAGACCAATATATATATATATATATATATATATATATATATGATTTGTTTTTGTTACAAAACACACAATTAACTTAGAATATGTGATTATTGTTAATTTTATTTATTTTTTTTTTTAAATAAAAGTTAAAAACACTGGGGAAAACTGGGAGGGCGGCGCCCTATCGCCCTCTACTGGCCAGCCGCCACTTACAAAGCCGGTGCTTATTTTCATGTTCTCATCCAAAAGTGATGTTTTTCATGCATTATAACCTTTTATCGTTTTAAAAAAGTTTGACAGATTTGTCCGAAAACCCAACAGCCATGTCTGGAAAAGTAAGTCTGCACTATTTCAACGGGAGAGGGAAAATGGAGTCAATCCGTTGGCTTCTGACAGTTGCAGAAGTGGAGGTGGGTGAAGCTGTTCTGGAGCTTTGCATACTTTTCTTACCCCTCACGTGCAATAAGTGTATTTCATTTGTATTTATGACCACAGTTTGATGAGTTTCACCTGACAACCAGAGATCAGTACCAGAAGCTTCTGGATGGTGAGTTGGTTTTCAGAGACATTCTCAACTTGTGTCAAGCCAGCCTCCAGTTTATTGCCGGTTCCCCGTCTATTCAAAGTATTACGGGAAGGGATGTGGAAACCGGATTTCAAAATAAAACTAAATTTCGAGTCAATTAACAGATTTTTTAAGAACATAATAACATATAATTTAAGCTTATTCACTATTAGCGGCCTGTCAATATCAAGACCATTTTATTTTGGATTTCAGAGTAAAAGCCCTGTGAATTTTCAACTCAGTCTGAAGTTGCCTTCCAAAATAAAGGCCTTTTTAAATTGCCCATATACGACCAAACTTTCAGTGATTTCAAAATGCTCTAAAATGGAAAATTGCTGTTTCCACAGGGTAATTCCACTTTAGATCAACCATATACAACCCCACAGTGAAACCATTTCAATATCAAGTCATTCTGATGTTGCCTTCCAAAATAAAGGCCTTTCAAATTGTCCATAATTGACCAACCTTCAACGATTTCAAAATGCTCCAAAATAGCAAATTGCTGTTTCCACAAGGTAATTTCACTTTATATCAACAGTAAACAACCCCACAGTGATACTATATCAATATCAAGTTATTCTGATGTTGCCATCCAAAATAAAGGCCTTTTTAATTTGTCCACAATTGACCTAATTTTCAGTGATTTCAAAATGTTCTAAAATAAAAAATTGCTGTTTCCACAGGATAATTCCACTTTATATCAACAGTATACAACCCCACGGTGATACTCTATCAATATCAAGTTATTCTGATTTTGCTTTCAAAAATAAAAGCCCTTTCAAATTGTCCATAATTGACCTACCTTTAACGATTTCAAATTGCTCTAAAATAGCAAATTGCTGTTTCCACAGGGTAATTCCACTTTAGATCAACAGTATACAACCCCACAGTGAAACCATATCAATAACAAGTCATTCTGATGTTGCCTTCCAAAATAAAGGCCTTTCAAATTGTCCATAATTGACCAACCTTTAACGTTTCCAAATGCTCTAAAATAGCAAATTGCTGTTTCCACAGGGTAATTCCACTTTAGATCAACAGTATACAACCCCACAGTGATACTGTATCAATATCAAGTTATTCTGATGTTGCCATCCAGAATAAAGGCCTTTTTAAATTGTGCACAATTGACCTAATTTTCAGTGATTTCAAAATGCTCTAAAATAGAAAATTGCTGTTTCCACAGGATAATTTCACTTTATATCAACAGTATACAACCCCACAGTGATACCTTATCAATATCAAGTCATTCTGATGTTGCCTACTAAAATAAAGGCCTTTCAAATTGTCAATAATTGACCAACCTTTAACGATTTCAAAATGCTCTAAAATAGTAAATTGCTGTTTCCACAGGGTAATTCCACTTTAGATCAACAGTATACAACCCCACAGTGATACTGTATCAATATCAAGTTATTCTGATGTTGCCTTCCAAAATAAAGGCCTTTTTAAATTGTCCACAATTGACCTAATTTTCAGTGATTTCAAAATGCTCTAAAATAGAAAATTGCTGTTTCCACAGAGTAATTCCTCTTTAGATCAACAGTATACAACCGCACAGTGATACCACATCAATATCAAGTTATTCTGATGTTGCCTTCCAAAATAAAGGTCTTTTTAAATTGTCGATAATTGACCTAATTTTCAGTGATTTCAAAATGCTCTAAAATAGAAAATTGCTGTTTCCACAGGGTAATTCCACTTTAGATCAACAGTATACAACCCCACAGTGATTCCATATCAATATCAAATCATTCTGATGTTGCCTTCCAAAATAAAGGTCTTTTGAAATTGCCCATATATGACTAACTCAACAATTTCAAAATGCTCTTAAATAGATTTTTGCTGTTTCCACAGGATGACTACATGTTCGATCAATAGTATACAACCACACAGTGATTCCATATCAATATTAAGTCAGTCTTATTTTATTTATTAAAATTTGCTGAAGTAGATTTCTTGTCTTTACATATTAATGACACAGTATTTTCTTTGTATTAGTAATGTTATGAAATAGAACCATTTTCATAAAAGTAAGATAGGTAAATCTGTTTATCTTTGAAAACAAATCCCAGAAAAAGGGAACAACTCAATACAAGGAGAGTAAATTTTAAAGTCCAAAATGTGCAGTCATGATAACATTAAAGGTGCTTTAAAGGTAAATGACAACATCACGGAAATGTGCATTAGATATGTATGAAAATGTTTCGCCGTATTATGTTGCTCAAATTATCACTTTGGTGGAGACAACAGAGTACGTCTTCAAATATTTTGACGCAAGCATCCAAAAAGTCTGTGGTTTAACAGCACAGGAGACAATTCCACGCTTCTTTCTTTGCTTTTTTAAAGACATTGTTGGTCATGTCAAGGCACTGCTCATGGTACCATCTTTGACAGGTGTCACATTGTATCTACTTGAAATCAAACAGACAAGGCAAAAAAAACATTTATACTCAAAGACTTTTACACATTTTTGAGAAATTCAAATACCCTCCAACTCACCCAGTTCATCATTGAAGGTCCTGATCCAAGTGGCTCGGTCAGTGAACACATGGCACAGTTGCTGTTAGTGTCAAAAACTAAAATACAGAATCAAAACACATTAGATAGACATTCGTTTGAAGACCAATTTGTGCATATGTTAAGCTGTGTACTTACAACTTTCTATCGATTAGACAACTGCATAAAGTGCCGTTGTGCACTATAATAATCCTAACAGAATAACACATTTCAATCTACACACATGCACACACATACATTCAAATACATTCTGTATACACACACACACACACACACACACACACACACATACACATTTTCTCTATTCATCCCCAAACCAACCTGATGCCTGTAGTATCTCCACAGCCATCAGCTTTCTCTTCTCTGCCATTTTCTCTTTTGAGGTTTTAAATTTCATGACGGGAAAATCTGGAAATACTTTCATCACTGCCCGTGCCATCTACAGAGAAATACTCAAAATTTTAATTGTGAAAAAAAGACACAATTGTACTCAATATAAAATTTCTGATGTTTATAATCTTGCATAAAGAGTATGAAAAACAAAGACCAATAAATAGATTTAAGTCTTTATGAACACCAGGTAACTTCTAACCCTCAGTACAGGGTTGTTGAAATGGACATCGTGGATGAATAAATATGTGATATACCTTGTAAACATAGAGAACAAAGTGGACAGGGTTAAAAACAACACTGCACTCTACAGTAAGGGCCAGAGCCATGTACATTCTTTGAAGCTGATGAGTAACTGAAATAGTGAACATCACTAGTTACTAGTTAATAACACCATATAACACAGTACACAACAGCAAGTATCACAGCCACAACCTAGATAAGTATAAGTAACAGTAGATAGTAAATATTGGTGTCAGCACGGCCCCTGCCGAGAAACATTATCATCTACATGTACTTAAAATTGAGACGTGGGCACCGGCAACTTAGGAGAGTTTGAATACACAGACCATCCCTTGGACGCCATTCAGCATGCCCAGCACAAGTGATGTTGATGTATATATTGTGGAATAAAATTGAGGTACAGTTGGTCGGAAGGGGACACAGCAGGAATGTCTCACACCCACCTCAGTGAAACAACTGTACGCCAAAGCCCTGCATGTGTGGCGGTGTGATGGAGTGGGAATGAGGAGGGGAGGGAAGTGAAGGCAAAGTAGTCTCTGACCCAAGTAGGCACCCCTAGAAGCCACAAATGCCCATCTGGACGGGGGCCTACATTAGCACCACCACCATGCCCCACGGAGCCTGGGGTGGTGGGCGCACATTCAATAATCTCTCTGACTGCATAAGACAAAAGACACCACGGCTGAGTTTATTCTCCACCTCTGTACTAATTTTAAAGTAAACTATTGTCTTATTTGGTGAGTTTTAAAGGTGGTGAACACTTGACAAACAAAGTAAAAAGAAAAAACAATACAAGACTATTATAAATTAAAGGGCCTTGGAGATGTCATTCAAACTAACACCAATGCACATCAAAAAATACATGTGAGTAACAGAAAGAATAAAACTACAACTCCCATGGTGCTTTGCGGCGTTAGCGCAGAGCCGAAGCGTCCCCTCCTTTGTGTTTTTTCCAGCGTCTGCTGCCGGTGTTCTGGGAATATCTCCTACCCCGTAAACCGACCTGTCGTTACCAGGCCCCCACAATGCAGCTTTAAAATTGAGGCCAACCCGGAAGTAAGAAAAATTGCAGTTCCACCTTCATCCGCTGGGGGCTGGTATCAGAAGCGAGCAAATCCTCATTGACTCCCATGTTAAAAATGCCAATTTCACAGCAGAAATAAACATGTTTACAGCCTGGCACCAGAACATGTTTTTGTTTAAATTATCTAGTTTATAATCATGACAACTCTGAGGGGGGTGATTTTTTTTCTCACTCTTCTGTTTAAGTGTATTAAAAGCCTAAAATTCTGTATAATTAATGAGCATCAGACCCACATGACCGCAGAGCTAGCTCCGTGGAAAGGCCTCAGTAGAGCCTCGGCCTGGCTTGGAAACTGCTCCAGGATTTTGAGTCTCTGTGTGTGTGTATTGTATGGATATTTTTTGTGCAATTGTTGGACAAAATGACTTGCTGTGGCATTAATTGCACTAATATAGCGTCCAAGGAGTCTCCACTTCATTTTTTTTGGTAAGTAAAATTATATTTATGTATTTTAGGTCACTGCTGAGCTGAGCTTAGATGTAAACATGTACTGTTTAACCATGACATTTAAATGTAATAGGGTAAAACCCAGTGTGTTTAACATAATGCTGCACTTTAGAAAATGGGTTGAAATATAACATGTTGGTGGAGCTGGGTTCCGACTATCGGCTTGTGGAGCTCTCGGGAGACCGATGTTTTCCACCCGGAATGCCGGCTGTTTCTCTCCGCAGCCTGGTCCATCTCTGTCTGATCGCGGCTCCTGTTAGCTGCGCGGGCTGACGGCTGGTTCTCCCAGCAGCTCGGCGCATCGCTGTCTGATCGCGGCTTCTGTTAGCTGCGGCGGGCTGACGGCTGGTTCTCCCAGCAGCTCGGCGCATCGCTGTCTGATCGCGGCTTCTGTGTGCTGCGGCGGGCTGACGGCTGGTTCTCCCAGCAGCTCAGCACATCTGTCTGATTGCG